TAATAAAATCCAGAGAAGGGAAAAAATGTCTTTAAGCTATTGATGTTAAAACTGTTTGAGATGTCACAGATAGGGAGCTCAGTTTAGCAGAGAAGAGAATAAAAAGTTATGACTGACATTCCTATAGAGCTACAAGGTAGCATTATTGATTCAGATTTTTTTCCCTTACAGTGAAAGAACCCCTTCATCCATTTTATTATCTTAATGATAAGTCCCTAATTCCGTTTGATTTTTTGAGGAGATTCTTAAGAGTAGCTTTATCTATTAGTGTTACTTCAGTAATACTCCACAAAAACAAAAAAAAAAGCTAAAAAAAAAAGTAGCTAATAGTATCTTCATCTTGGTGCATATCAAGGTTAATTTCTAATTTAGCATTTTTCATGTAAGTTGTATTATTTTCGTGTAAAGAGATGAATAGATAGATCTTGCATCGAAAGTGTTAATCTTCCTGTCATAGCTGCTACTTCAACTATTTTCTGGTTTCCTGTCTTTTGCTAAGCTAACAGCATGCAACTACTATTGTACTTCTGAGTTGGCTTTTGTCATGTTTCTTAAGATCGTGGTACATATTCCCTAAAACCTATAAAAAGATCTGGTAAAGCTTCTGTAGACTTCTTGATAACACCACCCTGTGCAGTTAATGGAATCTAGTACATCATATCCTTGAACATCTGTGCAACTTGCCCTTTCAGACAGGCTCTGTGGTTCTCCTTGGTGATGTTTGTGTTAAAGCTCCAAATGGCTCTTATTGACCTCAGTGGGGTGAGGAATGGGAGGGCTGTACTGTTGCATGAACATCCATCAAATTAGGAACATTGTGAGTGGGTGGTGCTGTTGTTTGTGGTTGTTTTTTTCTTTAAACCATAATGCTTCCTGGAAACTTAGGGGAATAGCATTTAGAATGTTGTTTCTTAAATGAATCAATACATTAAACCTTGGTGGAGAGTTTTAATGTACTTTTCCCCTCCGTATGTATCAGAATTCAAATAATGCTTCTAGATATCATGTGACACTGAACAGTAGCTAGTATCTACAGACTCATCCTCTTTATTTTCCCAGCACCTAACATGAAGTCTAACTATTTCTGTTCCATGTACAGATATTGGAGCCGTCTAACATAACATCTGAGATTAAATTAAAGCATGGTACATAAACTGAATAAGACTCCCAGGAGTGCATCTGCTGTACCCCTGCCACTCGGAGCACTCAGTTAGTGGGGCCACAACAGGATTGGCCAAAAGTAGCTCCCTCTCCCTGCTCTCAGGAGGGATGTACATTGTGTGGACATTGGGTCCTCAGCACCAGCCAGTCTGTTCTGGCTCTTCCTGTTGCACTGCATTACTTGCTAATGTAGATAAAATCATTCTGTAGCAGAGGTAGTTCACTTGCTAAGTAACTGAAAAGAGAATAATCTATATTTTACTTAATTTACTTAAATGTGATTTTAAAATGGTGATGCATCTAGGCTTCTCCCTTCCTCCAAAAAGGAAGATCACACAAGAAACAGCACAAAATAAGATGGAATATTCTGGAAGAGAAATCCTCTGAACTGCCAAGGACAGAATGTAGAAACATATTAAAACACTACAGAATGAAATATCAATTTTCTTACAAATGCTAGTTTACTCTCTGTAAAAATAATCACCATCGAAAATTGTCTTTTATTGGTGAAATAATGCTTTACTTTGTGTTAAATATAAACTAAATATAATAAATATAAACTAAATATAATAGATTATCTCTCTGAAGTACATATTTATCCCTTCAGTATTGAATTATACAAGGCTTTATTGTTATGATGTTTTAATTGACTGTACTTGTCAAAGAAGCAAACAGTGCAATTCTGCCTTGAGCCCCTTTGCAGTTCTACTAAGGATGTATGTGTTTGATTTCCCTATCAATAATATTCTCAGATCTAAGCATCTAAAAAAAATTGACACCTGCTATGCTTTCAGTTATCCTACAGGTGGTGTTGGCTGTTGTTTTTTTCCCAAAATGGGATTTCAAGAGAATCCCATTTTTGTGTTCCCCAAAACACAATATTCTGTGTTTTGGAGAACACCTGTACATATTATTGTTGACTGTTACCACTGGAACTGTATAAAAAGGACTCAAAAGAGCAACAAACTGAATAGATGTATTTCAGCGCATAATTAATCTCATTGACATTACTTCATATGAACATGGATAAAAATGCCTTGAAAGCATACCATTGAATTCAACTGCTCATTAATATTGATTAAATGTTGCTGTTCTCTTTGTGCTTGAAACTACTTAAAGATTACCTGCAAAAGTATTACAGTGCTATTGATTTAGAAAAACAAATCTCTGAAGTGGTTTTTTTTAATTATTTGACAAGTTTGTTATTTTTTTCATAGTGACGGATGTTTTCAAACTTGCCTGTATAGATATGAGTAACAGAGAATATTAATCGGATTGTCAGGAATGAATTATCCAGCATTCAATATAATGATGGATGTGGCTTGGGACCTCTCATCATCTGACCACAGTGTTTAAGCCCCTGCTTATCATTTCAATAGTGCTAATGTTTAAAATTGAATGATAGCAAGGTTAAGGCCTAGATTCTTCAGGGCACTTAAGCCCAAATGTTTTCATATCAGGGATCATCATAACCAAGACTCCAGTAAGAACATACGTGTGTGTGGAGGTTCATACTGTCTAAATGTCTTGAATTGGCATGGTGGGATATGGTCCTCTGGAGAAATAAGTTATGAGAAAACAGGTATAAGTTTTCTTTTCTTTTAAGTTTGAGTCATTTATTCTTTTATAATGCAGATAGGCCTGACCAGTGTCTAGTTAAAATGAATGTTAACTACTGCAAATTAGATCATCAGTGTTTACTAGTTCCACTGCATTGAATTGAAAATCAGTCAAAACAGAATTCATGTAGTTTGTGCATTTTTGTTGTTGTTGTTGTTCTCTCTTCCTCTCAGAAGGGAAGCATCATAGAAGACTAAGATTAATTAAAAATACTGGCATGCATCAGTATTTGCTTCTTTACTGTGAGGAAACATGCTGCTTGGAGAGGTTTTGGAGTCTCCGTCTCTGGAGATCTTCCAAACCCACCTGGTGGCATCCTGGAGCCACGTGCTCTAGGTGTCCCTGCTTGAGCAGGTCTAGAGGTCCCTTCCAAACTCAGCTATTCTATGATTTACTGTTTTGCTCCTCGAGTGACCTGTAAGCCTCTGTACTGCTGACTGATCTGCGAAAATGTAAAACCTAAAGAAAATGAATGCAAGTATGCTGAACATGTGTTCAACAAGCCATATGGAGAAATCAGGGAGCAAAATGAGAAAACAATGACTAAGAGATGTACTGTTCCTGGAAGATTAGGAGTCTGTTTTCACTGATATAATTATCTTATGGGGCTACCTGTAAGTAATCCCCAAATTGGAACACTGTGTTAGTAACTTGAAGAAAATATGTTGTTCATATGCATAGGGAGACAAAAAGAGCAAATTAAAAAGAGCATGCTTCTCAAAAGAAGAAGTTGCAGAATATCATGTTTTATTTATTCAGTTCAGTAGGATGTCTCATGTTTAATGATGTGCACAAGCATAACTTAATTAGGCTTGTAACTTAGGTAAGGATAATGACATAAGTTGTAATAGAAATGTGTACGCAGATAGTTTCTTAAACTGCTGTAACTCTCTGGGCAATTATAATTGTGGAATGTATTCTGACATCCCATGTCATTCTGTTAATTCATATCTTTTGTAAATTAATATTTTCTTAGTGCACTTTTCAGTAATATGACATTCTGAAAAAATGCTGTTGCTATGAACATCTGTCAAACCTTGTATTTGTAATTGAAAACATAAACTAATAGGCAGGCTCTCAGAAACATTAAACTTACAGCTCTTTTAAGTTTAAATCATTCAATTCCCAGTGCTGATTTTCAGTAAATGATGCTGTGGAAAGAAAATCTTTTTTAGAGTTTTTGAAAAATGTGATTTTAATTGGATGAATACTTATGACATTGCATTTCAATAAATGAAGATTAACATCTCTGTATGCGGTAAATATTGCAAATAACATACTTTATATCAAATTCATAAACATTTTAACACACAAACTGGTTTCAACACAATGATTACAAGTTCTTTAAAATGTGATTGGAAAAAGTATTTGTCAAATGCTAAAATATTTTGTTGTCGTAGGATGTTTGTTACAGATGAAAATGCTAAGATGGTAAAAGCTTTTAACATGTGCCATTGAAAGAATAAATTTCAGAACTCAGCTGAAGATGTGCTATTACCTGGAAGCTTATATAATAATTATGAAACTAACATTTATCGCGTTTACAAAAATATACATCACTACTAGAGTGCTCTAACAGACTTTAACTGGTAATAATAAACAGAAAAATTAGATCTCACTTTTGGAATTTTAGATTTTGTAGCGTGTGGTCAGTTGAGAAAAGATTTGAGTCACAGGAACTTTTTGACTATTTGAAAGAAGTCTGAAATGGATATGCTAAAAAGGCACTAAAAAAAAAGGGGGAGGTAATTAGTTAAAAATCTAATTACTTGCTCAGATGGTCACACGTGCAGAAAGGCACACAACACCATAGGAAAAATCTCTTCTAGCTGCTAACTTGCCATGTAGTGATTACTTGGGGATATTGTAGGTGTCACTCCCCACGATAGGTACATTTGATTAATGTATATTGCCTCAGTAGTATGAAAGTTAGAACGCTGGTTATCTTTGATAGGAGAGCAAGATTTAGCTTATCTGTCTTCTGTCTTCTCTTACATTAAAAAATAATGTTATGATTAGTGAGTACTGACATGCTTCATATTTTTCCTTGTTCATAAAAATATGTGCTGTCACGTTATCTGAAAACGTAAAGGCTTTGTTCTAGTGGGTTAGTGGAATACAATAATCTACATATGGGATGTAATTTCTTCAGTGAAAGCATATAAATATCTGAAATTATTATTGTTATTATAAATGCATATCCTCTTTTTATCTCTCAGGACCTTGCCTTCCTAATCCATGTCATAATGGTGGGATATGTGAAATTAGTGAAGCATATCGAGGTGACACATTCATAGGATACGTTTGCAAGTGTCCAGAGGGTTTTAATGGGATTCACTGCCAGCACAGTAAGTTTCATTTAATAACTTTTGTTCTATTTATGGACTGAAACCATTTTGTAAGCTGATAATGTGAAGGTTTAACATCAGCTCTGATTTTTCTGAAGTATATTGTCTTTTGTCACCAGACTAGTGCTACTAGCCTTTAGAAGATGACCTTTCTTTTAGCTTACTGGGTAACTCATCAACAAGAAAGAAAGTAGAAGTGTGTAACTTGCTATGCGTATTCTAAAATATGATGAGGAATGGATAGCATGCTTAATTCAATTTGATTTAATTGAAAAACAGTGTCTGAAATAGTAGAGATCTCTGTTTCTCTTGGAATTGTCAATTATTTCATTTTGATTAATGACAGCAGAAAGTAGAACAGATCACTGAAAATAAATCTGAATATAAATGCCTTCCAGATCTTCCTTTACCTCTCTATTTAAAAACAAAAAACCAGATATTTTTATTATGTTGCTTGAATCTGTAGAAAATCCAAGGGTAGAAATTCCAGATTTAAAAAGGATACACTTTTAAAAAACATGTTTTAGATATAATGTCGAGACTTCTGTCATTGTATTTATTTGAACAGTTGCCCTTTTTTTCGAAGACAAACAAAATGACAGCTTTGTTTGAAGCTGTTGTCATTTGTTATGATTATGGGTGAAATCGCAGGCCCATGTTCCCTCAGTTAATGTCGTTAGAAGTACTGTACTTTCAAAGCCTATTAGTAGAAGTCCTGCATTTCCATTGGCAAGTGCATCTCAATTATCTGATAACTTAAATAAAAGCTCTGTTTTTTTCATATGTAAAAGTTACTTAGAACCTGAGCTCGCTTAAGGAGATACTTAAATGCCAAATTTCTGTTTTACTAGGTAGATTAAATGTTTGTGCATTTACAAGCAACCGTAATGCAGTTAGACGGTTAAAAACTCAAACATTTGACAATCCAGACCAATAATTCCATCTGCATGTAAAAGATAAATCAGCGCACCAAAATCATACAGAATAAGCACGGAATCCAGTCTACCTCAAGTACTTAATTTAAATGCTTGAAAGAACCAGTACAGTCCAAATCAAATAACTGATGTTTATTGTGTACCTTCTGTACTCAATGGAAGAGAAAAGTGTCTCCAAAGACTGCTTCTGTTTCCCATTCAAGTCCGGTCTTATGAAGGCACCTTGCATAAAAACACAGTCGTGTAACCTAATGTCTTCATGCACCCTTCATTATAAGACAGATGTGTAGAGAGCACGTGACACACAATGTTTCTACTATTCTGCCAAACAAATGACTTTTGTTAAATAGGCAAGGAAGTGATGTTTCTCTTCAAAATGTTTTCATTCGTTTGTGCCAGATAATTGGCTCAGAAAGGGTGTAGTGTCTGCTGCCAGTAGCACCACATATTTGCATCAAGCAAGATGGGTGCATAATATGTACTCTCCAGAACATATCTGTATCTCCAGACCATACCTCTGTTATTTTATATAAGCAAAAGAAAAAAATATAGTCCACTATGGAGAGATTCATTGTAGCTGTCTATCAAACATCCTTTTAAAAGTATACAGGTATGTAGCAATTAGCTAATGTAATCCTCATAATCCGCAAAGTGCATTTTTACCATCTGTAGAATAAGGTAGAATTCTTCCATCAAGTTATTTATATCCACTGTGTGAAAATTAGAAACAGAAAATGTAATGTGATTCCAGGTAAAGCTTGTTTACATGAGAAGTTAACTTGTTGGGGAAGTATGAAATTCATTCTTTTTTCAGAGAATTTGTTTTAAGATGTGATAATAAATCAAATATAGTATGTACCTCCCCAGAGGGTCTCTGAGGGTGACAGCAATTAAAATTGTAGAGAAAGTATTCATAAACAGGAAGAAGCGCAGTGATGTATTTTGTGACACTCTTTTATCTGACATCATTCTAGCTTACTTTACAAAACTCCTTTTATTCATACTCTCTTGCTTCGTGAGGTTCAGAAATTCAATTCTGAACCAGTTGTACATTATATAGGAAGTCTGTCAAAGTAATTCCAGCACAAAAGGATAAGTTAAAATGACCTAATTGCAAGACATGTATCTTCATCTAAAACCATTAAGATTTCAAAAAATTACTTTATAGTTCTGCAGTGCTTGGTTATTTTATCTTTGATTTCTTTCATGTCTAATTTTTTTTTGTTAAATCAATTAAGCTAGGTGATTGATTTTTGCAGTCAAGATATGTTCCCAAAGCTGTTATTCTGTCATTCACATCAGCCAACATCCCATCAATATTTCTGAGATCCCTTGACCTTTTGCCCATGTAAATGATTAATATGTAAATTTTAAAAGATAATTAGCAATGTTCACTTGCTACATATTGAAGATTTATTGGTGAACTTAGATTAATTGGTAATGGTTTTCTGAGTTGTTTGATTCCCCTGTGGAAAAATTGGAAACAATGCCTTCGAACTAAAGATTCCCATTTCTGGCCTCATAAAATAATCAAAGTTTGGATAGGTTTTGGATAGGAAAATCCAAACTTTGGATACAAATTTGGGGAGATTTTCATAGTGGCACTGAAGAAGCAAAGTCTGAAAGAGCTGGGACTCTTCATCCTGGAGAAAACTGAGGGAGGATCTTATCAATGCGTATTAATTTGAGGGGAGAGTGTAAAGAGGACATCCTGAGCATACAGCTGATCTAAATTCCATGGTGTACAACTCAGGCCTAGCAATACTCTAGGGTGTACAGTTTGTGTGATACTTATTCTTAAGAATGATAAATCATTTTTTCTTAATATCCCTTTTGACTGAAATCAATGTAAATACAATGCTCTGTCATTCACCAGAAACAAGGATGCGACCGTAGGGTTAATTCCTATTCTGGTCATTTTTATTTAATGTTGAACTTCTTGAAAGTCAATCTTGAGAGTTTTTATTGGAGAAAAAAAAAAGCAATAAAGATCTGCTGTTGCTCTTCAACCATCTTCTAAACCATTTACATTATAAATCTTATTAATACTGTTCTAGGAGCTTATGTTCTGATAATAAATGCTGTCAGGTACATACAGTGAGGTTATGTTCTCACCCACAGTAACACCCTAAAAATACAGTCTTAAATTCTCCAGAACAAATCAAAATTCCTTGGAAGGATCCAAAGTGGAGAGATTTTCCGCATCCTACATTAGATAACCCAGGTTCTTTTCTGAACATAAATGAGAGATACAAACAAAGTAAGTTTTTGTGATTATCAGAGAGATTCTCTTTTGAAAATTATGAAAGTCTGAGTTATTAGCAACAATTTGTATTAAGGCATGAGGCTACAACTAACTGAAATGCGATAGTACCTCAACAGGAGAAAGTGAAGTTTGAAACACAACAAAGTGTAATTTTAAGGGTTTGGTTAAGATGTGATTTTATAATTTGACCATCAGCCATACCATCATTCTGTACTCTTAGAAAATAAAGCTTTATTAATTTAGCGCGTTAGTCATTTATGCAAGCTCTTTCCATTACAGAGTTCCCCGCTTTCTGCATTCACAATGCAGATTATCTTTGGTTTTTATGTCTGCCATGTTAGTATCATCCGAAACAGCCCAGATAGCTGAGGAAGGCGTGCGGCCACCCAGGTTTTGATGGTCTATGGAGGCCTTGTTCCCATTAGGTTGTTTGCTCACCTGTGCATGGGCTCAGGGTTCATAGCTGCCCGCTGGAAGGGTCTGTGCCATCTGTGTCAGACCCAGGCAGGATGCTGTGTGATGGAGCTGCAACTCCATCATCAAATTCTACTCCAGCAACTTTTCCGTCTACTGGGCTGAAATACATGTGAGAGGAAGATGTCAGAAAATGATATGGCATGGATTTTGTGTCTAACAAGGAGTGCAGTTTGTTGGGTGAAAACATCCTGAAACTGCTCCCCACAGGCAGGCTGAAGGTAGCTGTCATCTTCTGGAGGCTAAACAAGATCATATTTATCACATGCTGGTTGTTCCAAGCCATCTGGCCTCTGAACCAATTGAGCAACTTTAGTTTACAAAGACAGATACAGCTTGACACTACCAGGTGCTTGTCCCATGCTTCTGATTAAGAATATGCACTAAGGCTGTTCCTTGAATTCTAATTCTAACTTAGGTTTTCCCTTTTTTTTTTTTTTTTTTTTTTGCTTTGTTGTGCTGTTGAAATCAGATGTATGTATAGATTCTGTGAATCAGTTCCATAGGACTTAATTATTTATGTATAAAATTCAAATAATGTATGTCTAAGCTTTATTAAGATGAAGTCTGAAAACTATTTCTGCCTTGGTTTGTTTGCTTAGATAATAGAAAAGGAAAGATAGATATATTCTTGTTTGTTTGGGAACCTTCTGGTACTTTGCTTAATTAAAACAAAAGAGAAATTAATTAGTTTGATAGAAATCTGAGAGAGATGACCAGAAGGAGGAAAAGTCAATTAAATGTTTTTTTTTTCCTTAAATGTGGGCTGCAGAAAGAAGAAAGATATAGAGCACTGAAATGCCAGGAATTAGATCATCAGAAATATGAGATGATGGAAGAAAGATCTACCAAGTGTGATAGAGGCAGTTCAGCAGATATTTGCTCCTCTCTTATAAGTCCAGAAAGTCTTTGTGAAAGTGCCTGGAAAAATAAATGCTCTGATGAGGTAAAACTTGTTTGAACAAGTATCTGGCAATATTAAACAAGCAACAAGGATTTTAAAGCTATTGGGCAGGGGTTGTTTTGTTTAAAACCCCCAATAACTATCTTGGTCAAAGCAGTCAGTGGCTGAGATGAGACTGCTTGAGGCCTGGAGAGAGAAAGGATTAAATATCAGGAAAGAGGCCAACGCCAGATGCGTTACAGAAAGGATCAGGACACTCTCACGATGAAAATACAGGGCACAAGTTACCCCCTACTGAAGATTTTAGCCCATTCTATAATTAGCTTAAAACCTCAGCTAGATATGAAATATCTAGCTTTTCAATTTTGTTTCATTTTTGTTAGTGTTTGTCTATATATCACACTTCATTTTTATTAATATA